TTGATTGGTTGCCTCTCAAACACACGCTAACCCGGGCCAGGAATCAGGCCGGCAACCGAGGTCCGTGCCCTTGACTCAAATGGAACCCCCTCGACTGCTCAGTCCAAGGGCTGACAGCTATTCTAGCTCCTGTCTTGAGTTTTTAATTTAGATTGCTGACTATATCTTTTTCTCTTATTTTACTATCAAGGAATTAAGCTACATAGTTTTGTGTGTGTGTATGTGTGTGTGTGTGTTTGTTTTTTTTATAATCAAGACTGTTTCTATTCTGAGGCCAAATTATGACATGATACTTATTTACTTAAGGTTTCTGCCTTAGGAGCACTTACGTTGAGAACTTTTTTGTATAATGGGTCAGTTTGTTTTATCACCATTTTTGTCCCTAATAATACCTTTTGCTTTTGTCAAAAAAAAGTTTTTTAAGTGGTAATGTCACTCTACTTGTCTCTTGGTTCGTAGTTGCTTGGTCAGTCTTTTTTCATCTTTTGACTTTGCTTTTCTGTGTTGTGATGGATCTTCGTGGACCATTTTCTGGAAGCTGATCTAATGCAGGGCCTTTTCCTGGCTCAGTGTGTGAGGATTTAGCAAATTCTGCCCCAGTGATCCCTCCAGCTAGGACACAGACAGATCTGGGTGTGAAACAGAGTTGAGACTGCCAAGGCCTCATGAAGTAAGGACAGGGAGTGGCGCTGCAGGGAAGGGAGCTTTGATTCGCCTGGTCTCATGCTGGGCCGTGCTGCCGGGGACACCACGATGGCCATGATAGTCCGGCCTTTCCTCCCCCCCTGTCCGCCCCCCCCCCTCCCCCGGGCCTGGGTTTCCAGTCCAGTGGAGGAGGCTAATCCATCTTTAGGCAGTGATGACCCCGAGTGGGCAGGGCCGGGACAAGGGAACCCAAAGGTCCCCCTCTGGGCAGGTGGTAGTTTCCAGGAAGAGAGCTCAGGGAAGGCCTCTCTGTTAAAGTGACATTTGAGCAAAGACTGGAATGAAATAAGGAATTGAGCTATGTGGAGATTTGGGGGTGGGGGGGGGTAGCATTCTAGTTAGCGGGAACAGCAAATGTAAAGACTGTAGAGCAGTGGTTCTCAACCTTCCTAATGCCGCGACCCTTTAATACAGTTCCTCATGTTGTGGTGACCCCCAGCCATAAAATTATTTTCGTTGTTACTTCATAACTGTAATTTTGCTACTGTTATGAATCGTAAATATCTGATAGGCAGGATGTATTTTCATTGTTACAAATTGAACATAATTAAAGCATAGTGATTAATCACAAAAACAATATGTAATTATATATGTGTTTTCGGATGGTCTTAGGCGACCCCTGTGAAAGGGTCGTTCGACCCCCAAAGGGGTCGCGACCCACAGGTTGAGAACCGCTGCTGTAGAGGGAAAGCGCTCTGAGAAATAGATAACAAGGCCAAGGGTGGGAGCCCAGAGGTGGAGCCTGGGGGGCTAGCATCTTGGAAGAGGGGGTGGCTGAGCAGAGACCCCAGCAAATATATAGTGAAACAATAGAGCACCGTCATCTGGAATCAGATTCCCGGATTTCACATCCCTGCTCCAGTCGCACCAGTTCTGTATGACCTTGGGCTGGTTAGTCAGCCTGTCCTGCCTCAGTTTCTTCATATAGTGCAGATGATACAGCTCCTACTGAGCATCAGGAAAGGCTATATATCTGCTCTCTGTGCTGATTAGGTGCCCGTGGCGGGTGTGGAGGGACTAGGGAGGGATGAGGCTGGGTGGGCCAGGTAGGTACCTGGGCTTTTCCCCAAGAGCACTGCGGAGTCTTGGCATGTTTTGAACTGAGTAGGGACAGGGTCAGGTTTGTGCCAGACCCTTCTAGCTGCGATGTGAGGTGGCTGGAAGCAGGTAAGGCTGGAGCAGTGTGGTGGGGGAATAAGTGATGCCTGACAGGCGCCTGCAGTGAAGGCATCTTTGGGTGCCTCTTCAATCAGCCCGGCATTAAAAGGATCTATACCAGCGCTGTTCAGTAGAAATACTATTATAATGCAAACCATAGGTGTAATTAAAAAATCTAGTAGCCACATTAAAAAGGTCAAAAAAGATTATTTTATTTAACTATATAAATATTGTGACAGGTAGTATTTAAAAGTCATTGCTGAGGTGTTCAATATTCTTTTTATTGCTAAGTCGGAGTCAGATTTGGGGTGCCTCGTTGGAAAGGCTGGAAGGAGAGGTTCTTTTGGATACAGGGCCGGAGCCTTGAATGCCACGCGCAGGGCTTTAGACCGGCCGCAGCCGTCGCAGAGTTCTGCTGTTTGGTTTTCAGGGTGGGGTGATCCCGCTGTCCCAGATCTTGACCCCCACGGTTCCCAACCAAAGCTGGGCACTCAGATCTTCCTGCTTGCTTTCTTCCGCCCGGGAGACTCAATCTCAGAGCTGTTTGGCCCTTTAAATCTCAGCTGTCAATCAGGGTTCCTGTTTAAAGGGAACGTCCTGTAATAAGCCTCTCCTTGGCGCGGTGGCCTCGGTCCCGGCCTCGTGCCTCCGTCTAGCAGGAAGTTGGGAATTGTCCCACGTTCTCTTACATGCCGCTGCTTCCACACCTCCTCCGTCACCTCTCGCCTACTCCTCCCTCTTTCGAAGTTGGGCCCCTTGGCCAAGGCCTTCCTTATATGGGCACGGCCCCGAACGGCAGCCGCTGATTGGCTGGGAACGTCACGCGCGATTCTGTCAACAAAGGGGCGGGGGAAACTAGTCGTGCTCCCAGCCGCGCGGCTGCCGGAGTGTGGGCGGGCCCGCTTCTCCTTGTACGCATGCGTGTGGGCTTCCACCTTCTCCCGCCGCAGGGGGCGGGGCTCGCGGGTGAGGGTGCCTTGGGGGCGTGTCTAGCTTTGGAGGGTCGTCTCGGGGTTGGCGGGGGGCGGGGGGGGGGGCCGCTTACAAAATTGGGAGATTTCCTTGGTATTGAAGTGATATTTTGGGCCTTGGGCAAGTGTATGCTGGGTTTGGGGAGTACTTAGGGTTCCCTTGAGCTTAGAGGGTGCCTTGGGGTTTGGGTTTCTTTTATAATGTGACAGGTTCGGTGTGTTGTAGGGCCTCTTTTGTGGTTTGGGATGTTTGGTGGATATATGATTTGAGGAGCTCACGGAGAGACTTAGAAGCCAAGTAAAGAATACAGGAGTTCCAATTCTGGAGCAAGAATGCCTGGATGTTTGCCTATCTGTCCCTACTTCTTCCTGCCTATCTGACTTCAGATTTGGGGTTTATCTGTTCTGTGCCTCATCGGGACACAGGGACTAATGCACTGCCTGCTTCTTGGGGACCAGGGGGATGAGCAGGAATTGTTAGAACAGAACCTAATTAGCTCGCAGTGACCTGCAGTAAGCACCTGTCTGCTATTAAAACATGCGTAGGGTTTCTTGGGGGCGGAGGGGGGAGGGCAGGGATGTTCCTTAGATGAGAAATGTGTGGTTAGTTTTATGTATTAGGGAGCTTTTCTGTGTTAGTGAGTTATTTTGCGATTTTTGAGGCTTCTGTGTAATTAGGGAATAACGTGAAGGTTTAGGAAGAGTTTGAGGTGAGTATAGGATTTCAGAAATGTGGACTTTTCGGGAATCTGTGAGTTTGGGAAATTACTGTGTAGGAGCTCTTGGTAGGCCTGGGATTTGTGAGGGGTTCCTTGAGATTGGGGTCTTCTGTGCTGGAGGGGATATTTATAGGTTTGGAAGTTTAGAGTTTGGAAGGGTCTGGATATTTTGGGGGGCATTGATATTCTGGAGATGAGGATAGGAACTGGTTGGAGGACTTCAGGGGGTGGTTAAGTTGAGAGGGATAGCACCTTTGCTGTGTTAATGCCCATTCCTGGGCATTTAGACTTAGGCATCTATAGGTCTTAGGGGCTGTGTATAATTTAATTTTTTTTTTTTTTTGGTAAGGAACTGGAATTTCAGCAGGGGCTGTAAGAATTTTTGTGGTAGGTGGGATTAGGGATAAGGGCAGTAAAGATTTTTAGGATTGGAACTGTCTTTGTGACTGGTGTCTGTGGGTGTTTGGAGGCTGTCAATTTTGAATGGACCATGAAAGGTGGGGTTTTAGTGGTATTTGTGGAATTGCCTGTATTTACAAGGATAGTCTGTACTTCAAGGGTCAGCAAACTTTTTCCATAAAGGTCCAGATAATGAACGTTGTAGGCTTTGCGAGACCATGTGTTCTCTGTTGCAGTTACTCAACTCTTCCATTGTAGCATGAAAGCAGCCATAAACAAATAAGCATGTTTTAATAAAACTTTATTTGCAATGACAGGCTGTAGGCCAGCCTTGGCCCAAGGGCCGTCGTTTGCTGACCTCTGGTCTATAGACATGTGGAAGGTTTGAGGTCTGGAAGGTATTTTGGTTTCGACATGTCTGGAGACAGATGGGTCAGGGAAGGATTGAGACAGGGATATGCTACCTTATGGTTCCTGCAGTGAAAAGTGGTCATGTCTGACTCATAAGCAGATTTGCCTCCAGATTAGGTCATGCATACAAAATTGTTGCAAAATAGAATGATCATTATTAACAGAGCCTGGCCCTAGCTGGTTTGGCTCAGTGGATAGAGCCTCTGCCTGTGGACTGAAGGGTCCCAGGTTCAATTCCAGCCAAGGGCACATGCCTGGGTTGCGGGCTCAATCCCCAGTAGGGGATGTGCAGGAGGCAGCCAATCAATGATTCTCTCTCATCATTGATGTTTCTATCTTTCTCTCCCTCTCTCTTCCTCTCTGAAATCAATAAAAGTATATTTTTAAAAAAGAGAGAGAGAGCCTGAATTGAAAAGTCCCGAAAGCAAGTTTGAGGGCCTGGTCTTGCACTGTGTACCCTTCCCTGCTCTGACCCTCAGTTTACCTGTACAACTTGGAGAGCCTAGACTAGAACAGGCTTTCTTTTTTATTTTTTTACTGAATATATGTTTATTGATTTCAGAGCGGAAGAGGGAGAGAAACGTCAATGATTAGAGAGAATCATTGATCGGCTGTCTCCTGCACACCCCACACTGGGGATCAAGTCCGCACCCCAGGCATATGTCCTGACTGGGAATTGAACTGTGACCTCCTGGTTCATAGGTCGACACTCAACCACGGAGCCACGCTGGCTGGGCTAGAACAGGCTTTCTTATCCCAGGGGTCTGTAGATTTGCCTAAGGGAATTACCTGCACAGTATTGTGCAAGTGTATGCATTTTTCTGGGGGAGGATACACGGCTTTCAGAAATCCTTAAAGGTCCCCATGAGCTGAACAAAGGTAGCAGCCAGTTTCTTAAGGGCCTGTCAGGCTTGGCCTCAGATTCCCCCTTCCCAACCCATCTCGTTCTTTCTGTGGGTTTGCGTAGATAGCTGTGAGCCGGGCTGGGAATTCTTGTCTTTTCAGGAACTGGCTACTGGATGACCAAATAGAAAAAGGAGGAGCTGTCTGTCAGGTGATATTTTCACTGAAGTTTAAGATTATGACAGTAAGAGACCTCTATAGGGTTGGAGCAAGCTGCCTTCTCCGTTCATGCTCCTGGTATTAAAAGAGAGGTCCCATCCCCTCTGCAGCTCTCCATTTGCTCACGTGCAGTGGGGCAGGAATAGAGTTCTTGGTGGTCTCATTTGGTCACTTTCAACAGGACAGGTGGAGGTCAGGGTGGTACTGGGAGGGCAGGCACCTCCAGCTTCCCAACCTCCTCTTTCCCGTGTCCAGGTGGCCCGTGGAGGACCCCACCACCATCCAGGTCCTGAGACGCAGTGACCCCCGCCCGTCTGCCACCATTCCCCAGAATGGACCGTGGCGGCCTCCTGCCCTTCCAGCTGTGGTGCCCCCGGCCCTTTGGCACCTACTCACAGAACCAGCCGCGCCCACCTTCCACAGCCCTCAAGCCGTCAGCCTGTTCTGAGTCCGGCAGCAGGGCTGAGCCAGACCATGGGCCTGCCCACTCAGAGAACACGCCACCCGCCTTGGCCACGGAGGCCCCTTCCTCCCAGCCTGCCCCTCTCCTCTCAGCAGCCGCTGCTGGTGACGAGGGTCGAGTCCTGCTGGACACGTGGTATGTGATCAAGCCTGGGAATACAAAGGAGAAGGTGGCCTTCTTTGTGGCCCACCAGTGTGGTGGCGGCAGCCGGGCCAGCTCCATGAAGGTCAAGGGGCACTGGGGCAGTGACAGCTCCAAGGCCAAGCGGAGGAGGCGCTGTCTTGAGCCTACGAAAGCTCCGCCGGACCCTGGGGGCCGGGAGGGGCCCCCTGCTGCTCAGGGGACCCCAGCCGCAGCCAGTGAGGATGTGGACCTGCTCTCTGTGGCTGAAATGGTGGCCCTGGTGGAACAGCGGGCTGCCCTGGCTTTGCAGAACTATCCCCACCCCGGCACCCCAGCGCCTGTGGTCTTTGTGTCGGCAGAGCAGGGTGGTTCTGCCAAGGGGCTGGGGTCTGAACGGCGGTCTGGTGGCGGGGACTGCAGCCGTGTGGCTGAGGCGGTGGCTCATTTCGAGGCCCAGCGGGACAACCCTCCAGCCAAGGGCCTCCGCAAGGAGGAGAGGCCTGGGCCAGGCCCCGGGGAGGTACGCATCGCCTTCCGGATCTCCAATGGCCGAGAGCCCCGTGCACCAGACGGCAGCTTGCCCAACGGGAGTGGGGGCCGGCCAGGCTGTGCCTACCCGGGCAGCCCAGGACCAGGGGCCCGAGCCAAGGACAAGATCACCTGTGACCTGTACCAGCTCATCAGTCCCTCTCGGGACGCCCTCCCTAGCAACGTGGAGTTCCTTCTGGCCAGGGCGGACGAAGCCAGCGAGGGGGAGGCCCCAGCCCCTGCCAGGCCCGAGGACACTCCCCCGGCACCCCCTCTACCCCCTGCCCGGGACTGCGGAGCATCCGGCTTCCACGTGGATGTGGTGGTGACAGGCGTGGTGGACGAGTGCATCTTTTTTGGCAAGGATGGTACCAAGAATGTGAAGGAGGAGACAGTGTGCCTGACGGTCAGTCCTGAGGAGCCACCCCCACCTGGCCAGCTCTTCTTCCTCCAGTCCCGGGGGCCGGACGGGCCTCCCGAGCCACCCCCAGCAGACTCGCCGGCCACTGCACCAGGCCCAGATGACGCTGAGGGCACAGCAGACACCTCCCTGTGCCGCCTGTACCGGCACGTGTCACACGACTTCCTGGAAATCCGCTTCAAGATCCAGAGGCTGCTGGAGCCGCGGCAGTACATGCTTCTGCTTCCCGAGCACGTGCTGGTCAAGATCTTCAGCTTCCTGCCCACCCGGGCCCTGGCCGCCCTCAAGTGCACCTGCCACCACTTCAAGGGCATCATCGAAGCGTTCGGTGTTCGGGCCACAGACTCGCGCTGGAGCCGAGACCCCCTCTACCGCGACGACCCTTGTAAGCAGTGCCGCAAGAGATACGAGAAGGGCGACGTGTCCCTCTGCCGCTGGCACCCTAAGCCCTACCACCACGACCTGCCTTACGGACGCTCCTACTGGATGTGCTGCCGCCGAGCCGATCGAGAGACGCCTGGCTGCCGCCTGGGTCTGCACGATAACAACTGGGTGCTGCCCTGCAATGGGCCTGGTGGGGGCGGGGGCCGGGCTGGCCGGGAGGAGGGGAGGTGAAGCCAGGGGAGGGCGGGAGCCCACCATGCCCGCCCCTCTCCGTGGGTGCCGAGCGCCAGGACTTGGTCACCAGACCTACCCCCAGTCCGGGCAGTGTTCATCCCCCTCCAGGCTGAGCTGGGGCTCAGGGGGATGACCGAAGAAAGCACTCTGACTGACTGACCCCTGTTGGTTTTCTATTCTGGAGACCCAGGGCCAGGGGCCCTCGTGGAGGGTGATTTTTATAGCATCTCAAGTTTCTTCTCCATTCAGCCCTAGCACCCTTCCTGCCACTCGACACCCCAGGGAGCCACCAGCAGGGAGCAGACGGCAGCTAATTTTGGTACTACTTAAGGGTTCCCCCGTCCTGGCCCCTTCTGCTCCCCCCTAGCCATCCCCATTCTCTGCTCTGGAGCTGTGTTCTCTCTCCCAAGAGGCTGCAGCACCCAAGGCCGGTACCTCTCCTAACCTGTGCCAGGGCCTACCTCCTCTTCAGGAATTGGGGGCCAGGATCACGGAACAAATTAGGTACGTTTCATGGCAACCTGCCATTTCTACATGTTTTCCCCATTAAAACAATAAAAATCAGTTTTCTCCTTAACCTCAAGCTACTAGTCTCTCCACTTCCCCCAAAGGGGAAGAAAAAAGAAAGCTGAACTATAAAAATTTCCCTCCTCCCATTATTTAAGCTATTTACCATCACCACCGCTTAAAAAAAAAAAAAAAGCTGTGAAGCCCTTTGCCTCGCTCTGGACGGCGTGGGGGGCCAGTGGGCAGGGACTGTGGGTTTGAATTTGGTTGTTTTCCTTCTGCTCGGGATACTTGTTCAGGCTTTAGGGTCTCCACCCTGAGCCACAGATGTTTCTTTAGGAAAAGCCTTTGGTTAACTGAGACCTTGATTTTTCAGGCAATTGGGTCTGGGGTGTTTTTGTTTGTTCTGTTTGGGTTTTGTTTTTTTGTTGTTGTTCTTGTTTTTTCATCCCTGTGGTTCTGGAAGCCTCTGGCGTGTGGCATCTGACCAATTTTGAATTGGTCCTTTCTATAAAATCCATATTTATAAGGCTGAGCGCAGACTGGTTTGTATATTGTTCAGGGAGGGGATTTGGGAGAGAAGGGAGTCTTGGGTCCAAGCATGGTGAGATGGAAAAAGCTGAGAAAAGGATCCTTAGCCAAGTCCCTTAGCATGAAATTATTTTTGACTCTTCATCTGTGTCAGTTTGGACTCAAATCTCAAAATAGTAGTAGCTTAAACAAGAGAGTTTTTATTTCTTTAGAAATCCAGTGTTGGGCAGGTGTGGCCCTGAAGTCATCAGGAACACATGGTCCAAGGTGACTGCTAGAACTCTCGCCATCACCATTTTGTAGGAAGGGAAACCCCCAGAGCACTACACTGTACAGTAGGTCCTCAAATTAACATCATTTCATTCAACGTCATTTGCTTCTCACTAGTCAGAACTTAACCAAATGGAAGGACTGCAAAGGAGACTGGGAAATGTAGTCTTTTAGCTGGATGCGTTATGCCCAACAAAAGAACTCTTACTAAAGATCCCTATAATGAAAGTTTTAAAATATCCATTTGATTATTTACTAACTAAAAAGGGATTAAGACATTTTAAAAATTCAAGTATAAAAGAAGAGGGAAAATGGATTTTGAGAGGTAGCTGACATTCTTTGATATTTTTTTTAATATATTTTATTGATTTTTCAGAGAGGAAGGGAGAGGGATAGAGAGTTAGAAATATCGATGAGAGAGAAACATCGATCAGCTGCCTCCTGCACACCTCCTACTGGGGATGTGCCCGCAACCAAGGTACATGCCCTTGACCGGAATCGAACCTGGGACCTTTCAGTCCGCAGGCCGACGCTCTATCCACTGAGCCAAACCGGTTAGGGCATCTTTGATATTCTTATCAGGGAATCAAAATTTCCAGAGAGACTAGGATATATCCATAGTAGTTATTCAATGCTTAGATTTTAGAATAAAAGAAACCTGGGTTTGAATCTTGGCTTGGTTTTATGGGACTTCTGTTCCCTGTGGAGGGAACCAGATTATTGGGACTCTGCTGCTGAAAATAGTAAGTTAAATATCTTTAAAGCATCAAATAGCCAATAAAATGCGGTTAAGGACACACTAAGCCCATAAATTTAAAGAAAAGGTACATGGGGTCCTGAAGCCACTTTTTGCTCTGAGGGCACTTGCTGATGTGGACAAGCGTGGGTGTCCTGTTTGTAGCCTTATTGGGGCAGGCAGAAGTCAAGGCCAAAGCCTGCCCGAGGTGAGAAATCTAACAGCTGAGACCCCACTGAACCATAGGCTGGGTAAGGGCGACCCAGAAGATTGCAGAGATGTTCTGAACACTGAGGGGAGCACAGACCAAAGAAAGAAAAAGGTGGACCTGAAAACTGGCAGTTGCAGGCCGGCTCTGGCTCGGGTTTGCAGCTAGGTTTGCATCAGTGATGTTTCCCAGGTACTTCTAGCTGAGATGTTTGGCAGAAACAAACACACATCCTCTGGTGTGAGGAACTGTCCCCCAGAGTCCTCCACACATGATTATCAGACAGTGAGTGGTATACAGTCAAGTAACCAAATATGCATGGAAATACACCAGCACGAGCAAGAACCAGCAAAACAACAGCAAAAACAGGCTTCAGATGATGAGACTCGTCATAGATGAGAATACAACAAGAGCTTGCAAATACCTGCAGGGAACTCAGAGTTAAATAATAGCCTAGCCAATATGAAAGGAAAAAGCCCACCAACATGTAATAACCAAAAGTAAAAACTCAAGAGTGGCTAAAGAGCAAATCAGACACAACTGAAGGTTTATTACACCAGAGATAAGTCCACAAAGTAGCAGACAAAAGTTTATATAGCCCGGCTGGTGTGGCTCAGTGGTTGGGTGGTGACCTATGAACCAGGAAGTCATGGTTTGATTCCTGGTCAGGGCACATTCCCAGGTTGCAGACTCAATCCCCAGTGTGGGGCGTGATTCTCTCTCATCATTGATGTTTCTATCCCTCCCTCTCCTTTCCTCTTTGAAATCAACATATATATTTTTTTTAAAAGTTAAAGAGGATAGAGGGAAAAAGTATTATTGGCATTCTAGAATCAGAAGCAAGGATAGTGCAAAGATATTTAAAGATGTTCTTTACTTCAGGCTGATAAGACCAATAAGCCCAACCAGTCAAGCAGGATGAATAAAAAGAAATGTACCCCTAGACACACTGCAGTGAACGAGCCCAGCTATGTGATCTTCGGCAATGGATTTCTCTGAATCTCAGTATCTTAAAATGAAAAATGAGAATACTGATGGTTCCTCAAAAGATTGGCGTGATACATCTCATCCAGAGCGCTCAACTGTGCTTACTAAATACACCTAGTGGCCCCTTCAGAGCACGAGGCTGGGGATCCCAAGTTTGGGGGACAAATGGAGCTGGGGAAAGCAGCGGCGGCAACCTCATCTGTAAAATGGAGCTCACAATCCTTACCCCGGATTCATGCAAAAACTATTCATCAGGCCCCTTGCCCAGTGCCTGGCGCATGGTGCACCCAACCAGGGTGTCTTGTAGGGAGACAGGCTGGGGATGTAACCGAACACTGCTTCCCCTCTCCAATATGGAGGTGATGTCTCATGTACTTCTGCATGGCTGGGAGGCTCAGGGGACATGGTGGCCCACCGGAAATGAGCAAACAGGAATCTCCATGTGGTTTGAGACCCTCCAGCTGATGTCTGTCCATTTTCCTTTCTGAACTCTGGACTTCCGCCAGTTCCACCTCTAAGAGGTTATTAGTCCGTCCATCCACCCACCCCCAACCCCACTCTAACTTGCACCCAATTAAAGCCTCAGGAGGAGCTACTTTTTTTTTTTTTTTTTACAGAGAGGAAGGGAGAGGGATAGAGAGTTAGAAACATCGAGAGAGAAACAGCGATCAGCCACTTCCTGCACACTCCCCACTGGGGATGTGCCCGCAACCAAGGTACATGCCCTTGACCAGAATCGAACCTGGGACCCTTGAGTCTGCAGGCCGACGCTCCATCCAGTGAGCCAAACCGGTTAGGGCCAGGAGGAGCTACTTTTTGTTAACAATCTGTTGGTCCCAAACATGTGACTTAGAAGGGAGGTAGGACATGGGGTTAGGAGCATGGCCCTGTGTAAGACTCTGTAAACAACTGGTTCATAAATTTCAGACCCAACCCCCTCATTTGCAAAATGAGAACCGAAATCATACCTACCTCAGGGTTTGGGGGGAGACTGAGTTGCTATATATAAAGTGCTCATGGTGCCTGGCCTGTAGTAGGTACCCCAATAAATGTCAGCTACTGTGGCAGAATGTGAATCGAGAACCTTCTCTCTATCCTCTCATTTGATATCCTGAGCTTAAGCCCATGAATTCTTGAATCTTCTCCAGCCTTGGGTTGACTCAGGCCAATCAATCCTCACCTTTACTACCTAATAACCCTCCAAACTGGCCTGATATCCCTGCTACCTACCAGGTCTCCACCAAAGTCAGAAAGGTAGGCCCTGGCCTGTGTGGCTTGGTTGGGTGGCATCCCATGCACAGAAAGGTTTCTGGTATGTGCCCTTGACCAGGAATCGAACCCAAGACCCTTTGGTGTGCAGACTGACACTAACCAATTAGCCACACCAGCCAGGGCGGAGCCTGCATTTTTAATAAGTACTCCAGTGGAGTCTGAAAATTAGGTGTGGTTGGGAAATACTTCCTCAGGCCATCACTGGAGTTGGAGTTATACCCACCATCTCTCATTCCTGTACCCAGAACTTAAAAGAGACAGGACGGTTTGGTATAATGAGTTTGCAGTGACCTCTGGCCTATCTTATTCCTTCCATAAACATACCAGTGTTTCCCAAAGTATCTTCTGAGGTACCTAGTTCTGTGAGGTGCTTCCCAAAAAAGGGGTTCCATGGTGAAATACTTGGGAAAACAATGCATTGTCTTACCGTTGAAAATTCACATTGTGCAATGAACTCATTTAATGGCTCACCCTTCTTCCTTGATCCCTTCTTTCATGCAACACCTTTAAAGTTCTGCAGAATATGTTACTAGATTATTGCCTATTGGGTCTGCAGAATCTGGAGTTCCCACGTATTGGCTTCCATCTCCTGCTCCCGCTTAGGAGCACATCCTCTGTGGGCCCCACATGGCACATCCACGCGGGAGCTGGGTTTGGACGGTGCAGTAGCAAGGCTGACACTCTGGAGAAGGAAGTGCCACAAAAACAACAGCCACAGAGAATTCACTGGGTTGGGTGGTGTTGCTGGTCCATATGCCAGTCCACGGTTTGCTGACTAAAACCAAGAATAGCAGTTGCCCTTGCGAACTTCTTCAGCCCAATGTCTCCCTCAGAGCAGGGCCCAAGCTCTTATTCCTTTGGCTCTCACCCCACAACGGTCTCTTCCGTGTCTTTGAAGAGTGGCAGCTTGAGATACTCAAAGGAGAGAGGGTCTTCCAGTAACAGCACAAGCAGAGCCAAAGGCATTAAACAGGACAGGCCAGCACAGCCGAGGTGGGCCCGGCCTGAGCTCGCTGGCTCCCGGTGCCCCTGCCACATTCCCTGCTGGGTCTTTCTCCTTCAGGGTCAACCCGGCAGGCTAGAGCCCCAAGTATTCAGCCAGGAACACGGCGAGGATGCGGCTCAGGTTGTGCACCGTAGGTGGGTGCAGATTGGCCTCAGAGTCTTCAGCGGTGTGCCAGACAGAGGGGAAGGGCGTGGAGATGAGGTGGAGCACGGGGACCCCTGTGGGACAGAGAGAAGACTCAGGCCCAGCCCCCCCGCCCCCCCAGAAGATAACTCTGTTCTGGCGCTTGAAGAACTCTGAGCAATCGCTTTAAGTGTGTGAGGGTACATGTTAGTTTAAAAATATGTATTCAGTATATTGTTTTCATAACAAATTAAGAGAAACTCAAAATTTAATGCATTATGGAAAGACCAGGAGAAAGGACAGATGTCTGACTATCCTCTCTTTTTCTCTTCTTTACTAATAGTTAGCACTTGCATAGTATTTGTTCTATTCCAGGCCCTAGTCTAAGGCCATATATCACAAATACACACCATTTTGTCCTTATAATAACCCTTTAAGGTGGGCACCATAACTACCGCCATTTTACAGATGTGGACACTGAGGCACAGAGGTAGGCAGAGGGATTTGTCTAAGATCCCCCCTCTAGTAAACAACAGTCAGGATTTGAACCCAGGCCATATGTCTGCATGTGTTCCCCCCCCCCCCCATTTTAAAAATATTTTTTACTGATTTCAGAGAGGAAGAGGGGGAGATAGAAACATCAATGATGAGAGAGAGTCATGGATCGGCTGTCTCCTGCATACCCCCCACTAGGGATTGAGCCCACAACCCAGGCATGTTCCCTGACCGGGAATCCAACTGTGACCTCCCGGTTCATAGATCGACGCTCAGCCACTGAGCCACGCTGGCTGGGCCAGAGTCTGTGCTCTTAATCATTGTTCTGCATTGGGTTCCTTTCCTCAGAGCACTTCTCTCTGCATTTTTCCAGATTTGCTAAATATCGGTCCCATCACTACACAGGAGGCAGGTGTATTCTGGTGGATCACTGTATCCCTGATACCTTGCTCAGTACCTGCCTTGGGAAGTATTCGTTGAACGAATCAATAAAAAAGGTGTTGTAGTCCAGCTGGCGTGGTTCAGTGGTTGAGTGTTGACCTATGAACCAGGAGGTCACAGTTCAATTCCCCATCAGAGTGCATGCCCAGGTTATGGGCTCGATTCCCAATGTGGGTCGTGCAGGAGGCAGCCGATCAGTGATTCTCTCTCATCATAGATGTTTATATCTCTCCCTCTCCCTTCCTCTCTGAATTAATAAAAATATATTAAAAAGAAAAAGGTGTTGTAAGGAATGCAGATTTGTTGAATAAGTAAATTACAGAGTAAAAATTTTAAAAGCAATTTTTAGCACTTACTATATGCCAAGCACTGTGGAAGCAGGCATTTCATATACCTAATCTTATCTCATCCTCCCAACACTGTGATTAGGAATATACACATAGATGTGCTTTTTATGTGTAAATCTCTTCATTTTCCCAGAAGAAACGGGGGCTCAGAGAGGCTACATAATTTGCCTTAGGTCAACCAGTGGTAAGTTGCAGATCCTAGAGCTCAGACCAATTCTGAAACTACTATCTGAAACCCTCGACCAGATGTCTTCCACCCCAGCTGTGTATCCGCATCACCTGGGAGTTTTGCAAAAATAGCACAGAGGCCCGAGATGGTAGCTCGGTGGGCCCAGAATGTTATTGGGTGATTCTGCTGGGCTTCCAGGGCACTGAAAGTCAAGAGCTAGAAGAAACTCAAGAGCTAGAAGAAACAGTACCAGCTCACATCTCTCAAATGCTTGTTATGTGCCAGGCACTTGTCCAAGAAAGGCCTTTACATTTTGTATCAGCACATTCAATCCCCTCAAGGAGGGAGGAACTGAGATGGGAGCTATTGTCCCCACTTAAAGATGAGGAAATCAAGGCACAATTAGGTTAAGCAACTTGCCAGCAGTCCCCCACCCTGGGAAGGGGTCAGGGCCAGGTCCCATCTGTGGCTCCCTTGGACGTCCGCCCCCCACGCCCCCCTGCAACAAGTACCTCTGCGGAGGAAGGGGATGTGGTCGTCTTCCACAGAGCCAGGGGGCTCCCCGGGCTGGAAGTACATCACTTCCTGGGGGTGAGCCTGTAGCAGGTTCAAACGATGCAGGCGCTTCTCTGGAGGGAGTGGGGATTAGGGAGCCAAAGTCAGTCCCCTCAGGGGGCAAAGGTTTTGCTCAGAAATCAGAGGAGGGCAGGGGGTCTGAAGGTAAAGCACTGGTCATCCCAGTGTAAGAATGAATGCTAGTTCCCCCTTCCTGCAGCTGTACCGTGTTCCCCGATTATCATTAGCAGCATGCCCACTTCACAGACAGGAAACTGAGGCTCAGGGATGAAGCCACTTGCCCAATTTCACACAGCCGGTAAGGAGAGCCAAGATTCGAACCCAGGGCTACCTGACCCCCTGCCCTGTTTATAATCACGACTGCTGTGGGATCTGTTTGTGTCTTGCCCTTTGTGTTAGTGCCTTAGAGAGAGGCTAGGAGGTAGAGAGAAGGCTGGGTGACCCCTCAGAGGACAGGTGCCTGCCCCACCCCGACCCTCCCACCTGCATTCCAGGCTGGAGCCTGCCTCCACCGTCACCCTTACCGATGCTCTTCAGCCGATGGAACCAGCGGGCCGTGCGGGGGAAGTGACTGTAGAAGGTTGGATGGGGGGCTCCCAGGAGATCAAGAAGCATAAAGAGCTCCTAGGGAGAGAGGCCAGGCTGGAGAGGCCAGGTGGGATGCTGCCAACCTTACCTTACCCCCTCCCTCCCTCACCGAACCCAGTGGGGCCCTGGTCTTACAATAGCCTGGATCCTGGTGGGGCCAGGACTGTGGGGTGCAGACTCCATGAGCTGGGCCAGGTGCCGGGAGCCATAGAGGGAGTCCTTGGGTCCCCACTCCTTCAGCGCCTCTTCGCCGTCCAAGAAGAGCAGCTGCAGGGTCACTGGGGCTGCCTGTGGGAGCTGGTGCTCAGTGTCAGCCCTGATCCTGACCCACCCCCATCTCCTGCCCCCTGCAAAGCTGAATGGGACAAACTAGGTCTCCTCACTCATAGAGCATAGACTCTGAGCCAGACCGCCTGGGTTCAAATCCTGGCTCAGCTGCTTCCTGGCCAAGCAGTCATGGGTAAGTTACTAACTTCTCAAAGCATCAGTATCCTCATGTAGAAATGGGGTTAAAAAAAAAGAGAGAGAAAAAAGAAAAAGAAAGAAATGGGGTTAATAATAGGTCTATTTATAGGGCAGGATTCGAACCAGGTCCTAGAATAGTAACTGGCACATAGTAACTAAAGGGTTAGCTCTGATTATTATCCTTATTCCTCTAGCCCGTTTTGTAAAAGAGACACACCCAGAAATGAATAATTATACAAACAGTGAAATGCAGTTGAGACCAATGCTCCCCAAAATTACAGGGCCCTGAAAGAACACAGGAAGGACGAGGAGGATAACCGGCCCGGGGCATGCCGGGTCTGTGGGAAAGGGATGTTTGTACTGAGGGTAATGGGAGCTGGCCTGTTCCCAGGCAAGGAGGCAATATGGACCAGGGCTGGGCCAGAGAAGGGGTCAGGGAAAGTTTGAGAAGAGGCCTGAGGGGTCAGCAAGGGCCAGGGAGCTTGGGCTTTGGGGCACTGGGAAAGGGGTCTAAGCAGGGGAGGAGCATGAGGAAACTAGTGTTTTCATTCATTCATTCCACACATCTTATTTTTTATTTTTTCCTATTTCCACTCATTTTAATATCATTCCAGGCAATACTCTGGGCCCAAGGAATAGAGCAGAAACAAAAGCAGCCAAATCCCTGATTAGATGGAGCTTATTCTAGTGTGAGACAGACAGACAAATCAACATAAGCATCACAAATCATGGGAAGGCCTTGTTGAGGAGGTAGCATCAGAATGGACACCTGAATGAAGGATGGGAGCCAGCTAGGAAGATAACTGAGAAAAGCACATTCGCCCTAGCCGGTTTGGCTCAGTGGATAGAGCGTCGGCCTGCAGACTGGAGGGTCCCGGGTTCGATTCCAGCCAAGGGCACATGCCTGGGTTGTGGGCTCTATTCCCAGTAGGGGGCATGCAGGAGGCAGCCAATCAATGATTCTCTCTCATCAATGATGTTTCTATCTCTCTATCCTTCTCCCTTCCTCTCTGAAGTCAATAAAAATATATTAAAGAAAGAAAGAAAGAAAGAAAGAAAGAAAGAAAGAAAGAAAGAAAGAAAGAAAGGAAGGAAGAAAGGAAAGCACATCCTAGCAAGTACAAATGCTCCTCAGGGAGTTATCCTTGTGGATTTGAGGTACACAAGGCAGTAGGTAGCTAGAGTAGGATGAGAGAGGGGCGGGGGGTAGCAGATGAGACTAGAGAGGTAACTAGTAGGATGGGGCGCATCTCATGGGCCACTATAAAAACTCTCTGGCTTATGCATGGAATGAGGTAGGGGCCATGGGAGAATTTGGGGCAGAGAAGGGACAGGATCTGACGTTCAGGAGTTGGAAAGATCCCGGTGGCTTTGTATGTGTAGTGGTGACAGGAAAACAAGACCGGGCAAGGGAGGGTGGTGGCTTCAACCAAGGGAGAGGTTGCCCCTGCTCTCCCCCCTCCCCTCCCCCCACTCCTCACCTGATCCTTGGTTCTACTCAGTTCCTGGTCCAGGGCCTGGGCCAGCTCCAGTAGCAGGGCACAAGGCACAGCTGAATCCGTGGCCCCCACAAATGGGGCTGACTCAGATGGGAAGAGCTTCGAGTCATAATGGCAGGCAAGGGTGAGGTGACGGGCAGCCCCTGGGTCCAGTGTGGCCACCACATTGGCAAAGTCCAGTGGTCCCAGGGGCGTTGAGGCTGTGAAGGGGTCCAGCTCCACGTGCCAGCCTGCCGTCAGGGTCCGCAAAGTGGCCTCCAGGAACTAGTGGCAAGAGAGAGGTGGGTGGGGGTACTGGGGAGTATAGAGGGAAAAGGGCCATGTGACCTGAGCCATGCAGAGAGCAGTCGGGTTGACTCACAAGTCCCACTTCAGTTTTAATCATTCCTTTCACACTTCTGCTAAGTACCTATTAAGTGCCATGGAATGACCCCACCTCTTGATGCCAAGACTAACCACAGCTCACTCCTCAAAAGCACTCACTGTGTGCCAAGCCCTGTTCTAGGAACTCTGTCGGGTAGGGACCATCAGTGGCTCAATTCAAAGCTGAGGAAACAGGCTCGGGGCGCTTAGGAAACTACTCCAAGGGGCTGAAGTGGGATTTGAACTCGGGCAGTATTCAAATGACTCTGGCTGCTTTCTGGGGGACAATATAGAGATGCTACAGCACCAGCTCTGGAGCCAACCTGTTTGGATTGAAACCGTAGGTACACCATTTACTAGCTGTGGGATTTGGGTAAAAAAGGCCCAACTGCTCTGGGCCTCAGTTTCCCTGTCTGCATAGTGAAGGTCACATTGGTACCCACTTCATAAGGCTGTTGTTACTTGTGCCAAGCACATAGTAGGCTTTTAGTGGGGGCGGGACAGAGGGCAGTACAGCCTGGTAGTCCCTCTAGAGCAGCGGTTCTCAACCTGTGGGTCGCGACCCCTTTGGGGGTCCAACGACCCTTTCACAGGGGTCTCCTAAGACCATCGGAAAACACAGATATAATTACATATTGTTTTTCTGATTAATCACTATGCTTTAATTATGTTCAATTTGTAACAATGAAAATACATCCTGCATATCAGATATTTACATTACAATTCATAACAGTAGCAAAATCACAGTTATGAAGTAGCAACGAAAATAATGTTATGGTTGGGGGTCACCACAACATGAGGAACTGTATTAAAGGGTCGCGGCATTAGGAAGTTTGAGAGCCACTGCTCTAGTGTAAGATTAGCTCCAATCTCTGTGGGTCTTGGGCAGAATGCCTATTTCCCGTTCCCTAGCGGTCTGAGGGGTCAGATGTGAGTGACCCTTTACCTTTCTGACTTGGAGACTGCCCGGGCTGCCCGGCGTTCGCACAACCAGCAGGGGGCGCAGGTAAGTGTTCCATAGACGCTGTGGGTCCAGTTGCCCCACCACCTTCCGCATTCGGGCTTCGGGGAGGCTCGCGATCAATGGGCCCTTGGGTAGGGGGTGGGATGGGGAAAAGATGAGCGTGAAAGCAACCCTCCTTCTGACCCTACTCCGGGCGCCTTCGCCCCTAAGCAGCCCCGGTTCCTTTTCCTAATTGCAGGTTCCAGCATCAGAGGTGTCTAGGATAAACCCTAGTCACAGGAAAAGCCCCTCCAAGCCCATCCCGTCCATCCTGATCGGGAAATCGAGGCCCAGCGAGAGGAAGGGACTCTTCCAAATAGATGACTTTAGGATTAGAGCCCAGAAATCCCAGTTTCACCACCCCCGACCCTTCCTCTTAAAGGGGAGCCACTATTACAGAACAAGCCTGAAGCCTCATTCCATTAACAAGGGGGATGCGTCCTAAAGACCACGACAGTGGCACCTGCAGCTTAGGACGTCCAGCCGAAACCTTAGGTAGGGGGAGGAGAGGGATGAGGGGCCCCGTGGTGCCCCCGCCGGGCCTCACCCGCAGCTCTCGGCCGGGCGGCAGCTCCTCAGCCCCGCGGTGCCAACCGCTCCAGATGGTATAGAACGCCGAGGCCACGGCCAGCGCCAGCAGCAGCAGCGGCAGCTGCTGCGCCCGCGGTAGCAGGCGGCGATTGGGCGGGGAGGGTGGCTGCAAGAGGCCGCGTCCCCCGAGCCGTAGCCGAGGCCGCCCGCGGCCCCCGGAACGCATGGTAGCTTTGCCCAGAAACCGGTCCAGGACCGCGGATCGAATTTAGGCCCAGCCAAGTCCCACCCCATGGAATTACTGGGCCAATGAGCAACAAGAGCGGCTGCACCATCCCACCCTCCCGCGAGCAGCGAAGCCAATAGGGACTCTCGTTCTGAGGCCACGCCCTCCAGCCTCCCAGCGGCTTAGGCAACGATTCCCCAGAGAGTTACACAACCGTAAAGGGAGCGCTAAAGGGGTAAGCTCCGCCTCAGCGTGAGAGGGGAAGCCAATGAGAAGCGTTTAATTATGGAAAACCTTCGACTTCCCGGGCGCGAGTCCACGCCCCTCCCGGATGTAGGCAAAGCTTTGGTTTCGTGGAGTCGGAAAGATCAATAGACACGTAAACGAGCCTTCCCCCAAGAGAAAGGGGCGGGGTCTATCCCCGAAAGAGAAGAGCGGATTGGCTTATCAGAGACCACGCCCCCAAAGGGAGGGCCGGCGGGCCTTTAGAACTGGCGCGCCTTTTCCCTTGAGCCACCTGAGCCGTTCTACCACAAAATGGTCTCAATCGGACCCGCTTTCTTTTTCTCTCCGTTGTCGTGAACATCTAACCCGTATGGTCCTGAGTGACCCTGAACCACTAAGCAATGCTTTTACCCCAACGCCTCTACCAAGGAACTGAATAGAACCAAGGCGGGCTCGCTGGACCAACAGGCCACACCCACACCGCTGGTTGAGTTTGCGCAGGCGCGCACGGAAGTGAGCTGCGGGAAGCGGAAGTCCCGCCTTTCTCGCGCTTTCTCTTCGGAGGCCGAGGCAACGCGGAGGACAGGAGCGTTCTGAGAGCGCAACCACCGCCACCATGTGAGGCCGGGGAGGCTTAAACGGCGGGAGTGGGTGGAGGGTGCAAATTTGGCCACTTACCGGTGGAAGGGGATGGGCAGAGCGGGGCGCGGAGACGGAAGTTTTAGGGGTTGAGTGGGGTACTGTTCTGTTGAGTTTGAGAACGCGCGTGGGGCTTTTGACGGCGCCTGAGTTCCGGAGAGGGAACAGCTCTATCAGATAACGGGCTGGCGGGTTTTCCAAATAATTAGCCTTCCTGAAATGAATTTTAAGCGGGAGCGATTTTACGAATATAGAACCTCGAGAGGAAAACGCGGAATTGTGGGAATAACGACTTGAGATGAGGGACTATCCGGATAATTTGAGCTGGGGACCTAATTCGTGACATTTTCTAATAATGAGACACAGGAATGATTTTTAGTTATTTATCCATTGAGCAGTTACTGAAGTGCTCGTGTATCAGGCACTGCTTTACCTACCTGGGGCCTATCAAGTGACGTCCCCTCCCCCAAGAAAAGTCCTCTGCTCAGCTTATGGGCAGGGAGGGAAGAGGCAGGTGGTAAATGTAATAATAATAAACAGATAGAGTATATGGTGTGTTAGGTGACCAGGGCTATGAATAAACAAGAGAGCAGAGTAAAAACAATGCTAATGCCAATTTTGAGAGACAGTAACTTAACTAGCACAGAAGGGCACGTGTAAAGAAAGTGAGAGAACGAGCCACAGAGATACCTGGAGAGGCATCCAGGCAGAGGCCCAGGATGAAATATCTTAACCACCCAGGAGGCCACTGTGGCTGCAACAGAATGAAAGAGACGGGTAGATGCAGGGCCTGGTAAAAACGTTGCATTTTGCTTTTTGCACTGAGATAGGAGCCCTGAGAGGATTTTGAAGAGCGAGATGACGTGACTTAGGTCTTGGCTCCATAGAGCACTGCCGGGCAGTGTAGGGAGACCAGCAAGACTCTAGGAGAGAGGTGATGGGAGGTGCAGGATGTGGTAAGAGATGGCTGGATTCTGGATATATTTTAGAGGCAGATGACAGGCTTTGCAGACAGATTGAATGTAGGATGTGAGAGAAAGAAGAGAATCAAGTTGACACCAGATTTTGCTCGAACTGGGAGGATGGTGTTACCATCCTGATCCCCCAGTTGCGGTCCTCAGGGATCCCACCATAGCTAATTTCTCAGGTCTCTTCCCCGAATATTATCCAGTACTGTGGATAGAGTAAGTTGAGGTGGTTGGGCATTGTGGAGCTCAGTCTAGGACAGCGGTTCTCAACCTGTGGGTCGCAACCCCTTTGGGGTCGAACGACCCTTTCACAGGGATTGCCTAAGACCATCGGAAAACACATATATAATTACATATTGTTTTTGTGATTAATCACTATGCTTTAATTATGTCCAATTTGTAACAATGAAATTGGGGGTCATCACAACATGAAGAACTGTATTAAAGGGTCGCGGCATTAGGAAGGTTGAGATCCGCTGGTCTAGGATGTGCAAGATTGGAAATCTGTTAGGCATCCAAATGGTGAAGCCATGCGAGGCCTGTGGAGGGTGGGTGTGTTGGGGGAAAGGTTGGGAAGACTCAGGAGCGTGACCACCCCTGCTCCTGCTCCGAGCGCTCTCACCTGTGGGTTTCATACTTGCCCACTCAGGAGCCTTCTCAACAAGCCCAAGAGTGAGATGACCCCGGAGGAGCTGCAGAAGCGGGAGGAGGAAGAGTTTAACACGGGCCCACTCTCCGTGCTCACGCAGTCCGTCAAGAACAACACCCAGGTGCTCATCAACTGTCGCAACAACAAGAAGCTCCTGGGCCGGGTGAAGGCTTTTGACAGGTGAGGGCTTTTTGACGGGGTCTTGGGAGGGGTTCTGTCCAGACCTGGAGAATCAGCCCCAGCTGCAGCCCGAGGAGCCTGCATCCCAGGTTCCTCAGAAGCTAGGAGAGTAAGCACCTTAACACCCGAGGTGTGACTGTCTCTTGCTGCCCCTCCAGCCGTACAGTACAGTGGTTATGGGCATCTCCTTAGGAGCCAGTCCTCGTGGGTCATGTCCCAGCGCCGTCTCTTAGCAGCCACGTGACCTTTGGCAGGTGACTGTCGTGTCTGTACAGTGGCAGTAATCATGGTGGTAGCAAAGGTTTAACGGCTTAATACATGTAAAGTGTAATAAGTCACTAGAAGCACAGTATCTGGCTCACAGGCGCTTCTCAATCTAGTTATTGCATAATTAGAATGTGCACTGTTCCAGGTACTGTTTTAGGCTCTGGAGACACAGCAATGACTAAAACATGGTTCCTAAACTCAGAGAGCTTGTTATAGGTAGAAAAGCCGACAGGAATTGGTAAGTTCTACGGAGAAAAGTAAAGCCAGGTAGGAATATGGAGCACCGGGGAAGGGGAGTGCTATCTTAGATGGGTAATCAGAGAGGCCCCATCTGAAGAGACAGCGATGAACAGACCTGAATAAGATGAACAAGCAATCTAGGGTCTGCGTGTTTCAGCCACAGGGAACATGCCCTTCACCAGAATTGAACCCGGGACCCTTCAGTCTGAAGGCCGACGTTCTAGCCACTGAGCCACACCGGCTCGGGCTATAATTTGTATTTTTTAGTTAGCATTTGTAAAATGCTTCCCTCACAGTAGTGTGCTGAGGCTCACTTCTGGAACATTTTGGCCACTAGCTGTTACATGAACAAGTCTCCCTCTGAGCCTCACTTTCCTCTTGAGTAAAATGGGAATAAGAACAGGAAGTGCTGAGCACAAGGAAGCAGATAGACCTGGATTGGAACACTGGCTCTGTCGCTTCCAAAATGTGTGGCCTGGGGTGAGTCACGTCATCCCACTGTGTTCAGTTTTCTGCTGTAGAAGTGGGAGGTAACATTAGGAAGGTTGAGAACCACTGCTCTTATCCCTTCACCTTGCTTTAGTTTTTCTTCGTAGCAGTTACCACATGACAGCATGTTACAGGGCCAGGCTCTGTCCGCTTGCTTAGCATCCTCTCCTCACTAGAATGCACACCACATCAGGACAGGGATAATGTCTGTTTTGTTCATTGCAAGTGTTTGTTGGGTGAAGTAATGCATACTGTCTTCACGTGAGCCTACCCAGGCCCCAGGGGCCTCTGATTCTCCAAAGAGAAGCAGCTCCTTTGCTGATGCCTCCAGAAGTGGTGGGAGTTAAAAAGCAGAAGCAGCCCTAGACAGTTTTGCTCAGTGGATAGAGCATCAGCCCTTAGACTGAAGGGTCCCAGGTTTGATTCCAGTCAAGAACACCTACCTCGGTTTTAGGCTCAATCCCCGGCCCGGGCACATGCAGGAGGCAAGGAATCGATGTGTCTCTTTCACATCGATGTTTCTCTCTGTCTCCCTTCCACTCTCTCTAAAAATCCATGGGAAAGTATCCTGGAGTGAGGATTAACAGCAGAAAGCACAGGAGGGACCATTTTGTTTGCCAGGCCCTGTTCTAAGTACTTTACAAGAATGCTGATTTAATCTGGACAACAGCGCCACGAGGTGGGCACCATGAATGTCTCCGTTTTAGAGAGGAGGAAACTGAGGCACAGAGGGATGATGTCGTTGCCTCAGCCTGCACCTGAGGGCTGGCAGTGCTGCTGCAGGAGGGAGGCAGCACCTCACAGGAGGGCCGGTCAGAAGGCTGCCCCCTCACACCCGGTGCCTTCCCCTCCCTGTCCCCACCAGGCACTGCAACATGGTGCTGGAGAATGTGAAGGAGATGTGGACCGAGGTCCCCAAGAGTGGCAAGGGCAAGAAGAAGTCCAAGCCAGTCAACAAGGACCGCTACATCTCCAAGATGTTCCTGCGCGGGGATTCGGTCATTGTGGTCCTGCGGAACCCCCTCATCGCTGGCAAGTAGGGGCTTGCTCCCTGCTGTCAAAACTCACTCCCCCCCCTCTCCTGCAAAGATCCGCCCTTTCACACGAGAACAATAAAAGCCAGGTGTGTTTTGTGTTTTTTTTTTTTCTAGTGGCATCTGTCTGTTCCCAGGGCCTGGTGAGTGGGACGGACTTGGGGGAGGGAGGCAGCTGAGCATGTGGCCAAGCACTGGGATCAGGACCTCTCTGAGCAGATGAAGAGGCCCTGTCTCTGCCCCTTCCACGCCTCAGTTTCCCTGTCTGTGAAGTGAATCGGTTGGACAGAGAAAGCTTTTGCTCTTTCCTATTTAATCTTTTCTAGCTTCTCATTACCCTGTCTCTCCTTTCTTCCTCTGAATGAGTCAGCCTTGCTTGAAATTTCTGGTCTTTTTTTCTGTTTGTTCAGTCAGATCAACATTCCCCAATGTTTACTTTCTCTGTGTCCAGCCTTGTGTTGCAATCCTGGGGACAGCAGTGCCTGAGACAGCCCTGACCTGCCCTCACTGATGGGAGGAGATACATGTTTAAAGCAGTTGGTACTCAAGGTCCTGACCAGGTAGCTCAGTTGGTAGAGCGTCGTTCCGATACGCCAAGGTTGCGGGTTCCATCTATAATTAGGTCACATACAAGAAGCAGCCAATGAATGGAACAACACATCTATGTTTCTCTTTCCTCCTCCTCCTCTCTCCCTCTCCCTTCTTTCTAAAATCAATAAGTACAGATTTTTAAAGTGTCCAGTAACCTCAAGTGATTGGTTCTAGTGGTCTACCTTTCCCTGGCCACTCACTGTTTCATGTTTTCTCTCTCAATGTTTATCTCTCCCTCTCTCTTAAAAAAAAAAAAAATTTAAACAATGTTTATAAGGAAAAAGAAAAAGCAACCATGCTGTCACCTACTGAGCTGTTAGGCTGCCAGCCCTAGGCTCTGCTGATCAGACTTCAGCAGCTCTGAGCAGGCACTGTTATTTATTGCCTCCAATTCCCAGAGGAGGGAGCCGAGGCACAGGGAGTGGTGCTGACTTGCCCAGGGACACCCAGCCAGGAAGTGGTGCTGATTCAAACCCACCCTGCTCCTGAGCCTGTGGCTTCACCCCTGAGCTCTGCTGTCCTTCAAATGACAATTTAATTACCATCGAGGGAAATTCTCTGACAAACGGGAGTAGAGCTGAGAAAGGAGGGCCTTATTGTTTTCCTCTGATGTACACACATCACTCTCTCCCCATCAAGATCTCTGTGTTCTGTCTGCCTGCATCTCTGTCTCTGTTCTCAGGGCCTAATGCCAGGTGGTGCAGGAGTTTGCAGAACCGAGGTCAGGATCAGTGTCTGACACCGAGTTGTGGAAAGCAGAGCCTGACTTACCCTGTGAGCTGCAGAGCTAGGGATCCTGCAGCAGGAGAGGACCTGACATACACAGGGTGACATGTGGGGCTATAAAGTTGAATGCTTACTGGGTGGTGAATTGGAACAACCCTCTGAAGTAGATACTGGAGCCATCCCAGTTTACAGATGAGATAACTGAGGCTTAGTGGGTAATGACTTACCCATGTCACTCAGGGAAGCAATGGAGCCACGTTCAAACTCGGGGAGCCAGGCCCTCATGAGCCGCCTTTACTGTCAGGGAACAGGCCAGAGCCACAATGTCCTAATCTGTGAAGTGGGGTCAGTGGTGCCTGGCCGGTATGGCTCAGCTGGTTGGAGCATTGTCCTGAACACCGGAAGGTGGTTTGACCCCGATTTTAGTATGTATGGGAGGCAACCATTTCTCTCACTCTTTTCCTCTAAAGTCAGTAAAATCATGTCCTATAAAAATAAAGTGGGGGCAGTGGTACTGCTGCAGGAAACTTCCTGGGGATTCGGTTCTTTTGCAGGAGTAAGGACAGCACAAGGCCTGGAGTCCCAATCTTCTGTTCAGATCTGTCCTGCCTCCCTCTGGTTGTTGATTTGCCTTCCCTGGGGGATTGAACTTAATTATCCTGCCTTTCAGGCTGGGGCAAGATTCCAGCCCAGCACCCAGCTTGGCATCAGTTTGAATTTCAGCCGCCATCACCTCCCAAATGGTTCCTAATTCACCTTTTCTTCAGTGGTGGAAACAAAAGCAGAGGCGGCAGGCATAGTCCCAGGCATGCTGGCCAAGCATTCAGCACCCACCACGCACCAGGCATCCTAGGAATAACTCATTGGAAACTCAGGCAAGGTACCGTTATACCCATTTCCCAGAATTGGAAAGTGAGGCATAGAGAAGCTGAGAATCTTCTCCAAGTCACACAGCTAATAAGTAGCCAAACTAAGATTTGAACCAGGCTATTTGTTTCCTACAGCTTTATTCTGGTTTTTGTTTTTGTTAAAATGGCAAAATTTGTATATATTTTATCACAGTAAAAAACATGGTTATAATATAACCTTCCACAGCTAGGCACTCAACCAAATAAATACTTGATTTTAAAATGAGATTCATTTAAATATCTTTTTATTGATTTCAGAGAGGGAGAGAAACATCAGTGATGAGAGAATCATTGATCAGCTGCCTTCTGCGCACCCCCTACTGGGGATTGAACCCACAACCAGGCATGTGCCCTTGACAGGAATCCAGTGCGGGACCCTTCAGTCCACAGGCTCTATCCACAGAGCCAAACCGGCTAGGGCTTTACTCTGTTGTTGTTTTTAAGATTTTTTTATTGTTTTTTTAGAGATAGGGGAAGAGGGAGACATACATCAATCAGCTACCTCATGCACGTCCCCTCCTGGGGAACAAGCCCGCAACCTGGGCATGTGCCCTGACTGGGAATCGAACCAGCAACCTTTTCGGTGCTTAGGATGACTGTCAGCCAACTGAGCCACATCAGCTACGGCAAGCTTTACTTTTAATACTGCCTTTCAGAGAAGCAACCCTTAGGAAGTGTTTGGTGCACGTACACACACACACACACACACAATTTTAATTGTATACATTGTAAATAGTTAAGCATCACATGAACATTCCCAATTGGGGCTTCTCTTAGTGGGGACTGTGACAGCATGATGTACATGTTGATGTCCATGTTATGGCAACACATGGCTGAAGATGAGCAGTGCTACCCTCCGGGGGGATGTGGGGGGTGGCTGCCACAGGCTCCCAGCCTCAGTCATTTCTCATTGCCTGGCCAAAAGATTCTCTCTCTCTCTCTCTCTCTCTCTCTCTCTCTCTCTCTCTCTCTCTCTCTCTCTCTCTCTCTCGTCTCAACACACACACCAAAAAACACAACACAACTGTTTCTCATGCTTTATTTACATTACAGGGGTGGGGAGCCTTTTTTCTGCCAAGGGCCATTTGGATATTTACAACATCATTCGCAGGCCATGAAAAATTATCAACTTAAAAATTAGCCTGCTATATTTGGTCAAACATTTAATTAACTCACCCTAATGCCGTGGCAGGGCCAGACCACATGGTTTCAAGGGCCTTATATGGCCTGAGGGCCAGATGTTCCCCACCCTGATTTATGACGACCCTGCCCTAGGGCCCCTACCCTCCCAGAACCCACAAGGAAGGGGTGGGGGGCGGCAAGGCCACCTCATGTTTAAAGGACTCTGAGTTTGTCGGTCCAGGGAGCTGGACACTCAAGGAAAATAATTGACAACACCCAGGTTCTAATTGAATCTATCTGTATCTGTGGGGGAGGATTAGGAGTGAGGGCTTGGGTGTGTGCAGGTGATCCAGCTACAGTGTGGCTGTTGGCTTCCCCCAATTCGCCCAGGGGGCCACTCAGGAGGGTGAGGGTGTGCGGCCACACTCCCCAGCCAGCAGTGGTCCTGGCCTCTCTGGATGCAAGGTTTCAGCCGGGGCCTGCCCTGAATTGCCCGTGTTTATATCTACACTGAATCCTCCTCTCTGGACCCCAGTGGGCTCACACTTCTGTCTCCAGCTCTAACCTCTGCCTGAGCTCCAGACCTCTAGTCCCAGCTTAACACGTCCAAAGAGCAGTCTCGGTTCACCCCACCCTAAACCCAATCTCCCTTTCCTTCTCCACAGTCTCAAACCGACGAGTCTTCTGGACTTCTTTCTCTTCTTGCTGCACTTTCTCATGCAATTCATCGCCAAATCCTCAGTTCTACCTTTAAAATAGCTAAAGTCCAACTGCTTCACGCTCCTCCATGGCTACCCCCTGGGTCAGCCTCCATCACCTCCTGCCTGCAGTCTCCTCACTGGGCTCCCAGTGTCCATCCCTAGTAATCTGTTCCCCCACAGGGCAGACAGAAGGCTCTGTTTAAAACATTAGCCCATGAGCCCTGGCTGGGTAGTGGGTGGTTCAGTTGATTGGAGCATTGTCCCAAACCACCAAGGGTGGGGAACCTTTTTTTCTGCCAAAGACCATTTGGATATTTGTAACATTCGCAGGCCATGCAAAATTATCAACTTAAAAATTAGCCTGCTATATTTGGTCAAACATTGGATTAACTCACCCCTAATGCCTTGGCAGGACCAGACCAAACGATCTTGCAGACTTTATAGAGCCCATAAACCAGATGTTCCCTACTCCTGCGATATACCAAGGTTTCGAGTTTGGCCCCCTGTCAGAGCACATACAAGAAGCGGCCAATAGGTAGCCCTGGCCTGTGTAGCTCTGTTGGCTGAGTGTTGCCCCGTGCACTGAAGAACCGCTGGTTCGATTTCCAGCCAGGGCACATGCCCAGGCTGCGGGTTTGAGCCCAGACCGGGGTACGTACAGGAGGCAACCGGTAAACCAATAGATGTTGCTCACATTGATGTTTCTCCCTCTCCCTTCCTTTCTCTCAAAAGTAGCAATAAAAACATTTTATTTAAATAAAAGAATCAACCAGTGAATGCATAAATAAATACGTGGAACAACAAGTTGATGTTTCGCAATTAATAAAACACACACACACATACACACATTAGCCCATGAGATGCTCCTGCTAAGAGTTTTCAGTGCACCTGGAATAAAATCCCAACTCTTTGCCCCTGCTCACTTCTCTCTCCATTTGTCTCTGACTCATCCCAGCGCCAGCCATGCAGGCCACCTGTCTGCTCCTAAGACATGGCCAAGTTCCTTCCTGCCCAGGGCCTCTGCAGATGCTGTTCCTTCTGCCTAGAATCTTGCCTACCAGTTGTCTCCTGCACCTCTGGCAGGTATGGCTTAAATGTTACCTCCTCAGAGATGCCCTCCCTGACCACCATACGCCCCCTTCTAATTTTCCTTCATAAGCCATTCCACTCCACAGCCTATATATAACCATGTATTGTCTTAAGGGTCTGTTTCCACCACGCAATTTTGAACTCTAGGGGCCTTTCTCTGTTTCCTTCCACCCCATTTCCGCAGCGCCCTCCCTCCACAAGGGGCCTGGTACACAGTAGGCGCTCAATAAATACATGCTAACTGATCGCAGGAATCCCGCTGCCTAGCAGTAACTTTCCAAGACCCGGCTGGCCTCATCCCCAGGCCCTGGGAGGTTCCCCGAGGACAGGGCACGGCCAGTGGCGACCTGTCTGGGTCCGGAGCTCAACTGCAGGGTCAGAGAGGCACGCTGTGGGGGCTGGTGCGGCTCCTCTCCTAGGCTGCGGCGCAGGCGGCAGCGGTGCCAACCTCGGCGGATCTCCGACTGCACCTGCAACGGGTAGCGCCGAGTCGGTGCCGGGCACGCCGTTCGCTGTGCTGCCGCCAGAGGGCGCGGGCGGCCGGCCGGTCGGGGCTCTCCCTACCTCCTTGTTGATGAAGCAGTAGAGGAAGCTGACCAGCAGGCCCTGTCAAACAAGGTGTTATATCAGGGATTGGGGACAGGCTTATGAACACCTCTTTAAGAGCTCGGGCCCTTGCCAGGCCCCAGACTACCTCGGGTGCCACTGTCCCGGTTCTAGACTTTTGCAGGCACCTCCCAGGCTCCCTGCTCCCCCCTCTCCTCCCCAGTTTGCTGAGCAATAAAGAGGACCCTGGATGTAATAACCGCTTCCCTAGTTTCTATCCCACGTGGGCAAACTGCTTAACCCCTCCGGGCCTCAGTTTCTTCATGTGGAAAATGGGGTAACACAGTGGTGGTTGTGAGAATTGAGATACTGGTATGCAAGAAGCTGTAGTGTCTGGTACATAGTGTGAAACCTTTTACTTAGTCTTATGATTTATCTTACCATTATTATATAATATATAATCATTAGTAAATATTAATAAATCAAGTTTATTATTATTAATATTTGCTTAATTTTAATTATTAATGATTATTCTAAATTATTGATAAATTAATTTTAATCATTAGTTTTATATTTGTGTTCCACATATAAATTAAAATAAATATAAAATCCATTTATATTTATAATTAATAATAAGTTACTTGATACATTAATGCAAGTCAATTATTTATATGTGTTATTGGTAAAATATTACTTGTCTTATCTCCCCCTTGCTCCACTGGCTCCCACTGCTTCAGGCCCGCCAGCCCTCCTCCATGGTGACAGGTACTCCCACCTCAGGGATCTGACATGTGAGGTGCCTCTTCCTGGAACACTTCCCCCAGTACCTGCCCCGCTCATTCCCTCGCCTTCTTCCATCTTTGCTCCAATATCTTCTTCTCAGGGAGGCCTTCCTTGATCCCCTGCCTGTAACTCTATCTTTTGTCTAACCTTCACCTCTATTTTCTTGCTTTTTTCCCCCTCTACTCACATCTTACCATCTGCTATTCTGTATATATTTTACTTATATACCGTGTGTGTATAGCATCCGTCTCTCCTACAAGAGTGTAGAGACCATTTCGGTTCTTGGCAATATCCCCACAATGAGCTAGGAAAAGTGTATGCAACAAATGTTTGCTGAATTTAATGACATGAACGGGCATGTGAGGTGAGACAAGTGTTGTGCCCACTTTAGAGGTGAGAAAACTGAGGCCCAAGCAGGTAAAACAGGGTGGGGACTAGGGTTAGGGCAAGCACATGCAGGGCCAGCCTTACATTCTGGAGTGAGTGCCTTCGTGTCTTTTGCGTTCTGAGCACCTCTCTTGCCACCCTAGCTCTGACGGATCTGATTTTGGCCCCAGCCCTGTCCAGTCTCAAAGCCCCTAGATCTTCACCAGGAGGCAGTACTGCTAAGGCCTCCGTCTCCTGTCTTGGTCCCTGCCGCTTCCTCAGCTGAGAACAGCACCAGCTCAGCATCCTGTGTAGAATGAATGAACTCGCATAGTCACACCCAATTCAGTGGCTGCGCCAGGGGATGCCTGCAGCCCTTCTGCCCCTCTGGGGGAGAAGGGCCCCAAAGTGGAAGGGTGCAGCCCCTGCCCCCAGCCTGATCACCTTGGAAGGAGCTGAGGAACATCTTGAAAGCCGAGCTTGGCGAAGCGCAGGTGGCCCCGGACTTGTTCCCTCGGTCACAGGGACAAACACCATCTCGTGGACGCCCAGCAGCGGCACCAGCGTCAGGTGGAAGCGAGCCATCC